GGCCAAGCACAGCAAGCTCATTGGCCAGCCGCCGCACTGGTTGTGATGTCAGGACAGTGAGAGCAAGCTGATTGATCATTATTAGTGACAACTGTGATGTCAGGGTAGCGCAGCAAGCTAATTGGCCAGCAGCGGCACTGGCTGTGATGTCCGGACAATCACAGCAAGCTGATTGGTCAGTAGTTGTGCCAATTGTGATGTCAGGGTAAGCGCAGCATGCTAATTGGCCGGCCGTGGCACCGGTTGTGCTGTCAGGACAATCACAGCAAGCTAATGGGTCAGCGCTAGTACCATCTCTGATGTCAGGTCAAGCGCAGCAATCTAATTGGCTAGCAGGAGGTTACCCCATGGAGCTGCCTTGTGAGGTCCTGGAGCGCAACCTCAATTGCTGTGCTTGCTGAGACAGATCTGGCTTGGCAGGGCACAGAGGCCGCAGGCCGGGGGCTCAGGAGCGCCTTAGAGACCCTATTGTTGAGGAAATCAGATTCCCGCTTTTCTCAGGGCTCTGGAAAATCACAGTCCTGCAGGAAACCCGCTGCAAGATCAGAGAAGCCGGTGGAGCTGCTTCCTCTGCACAGCCAGCCTCCTCAGAGAGGAGGGACAGTCCACCAAAATCCCAGGGGGAGCTGGGATCTTCAGCTGAAAACTCTTCACCGAGCTCAGGTCCCAAAAAAAAGTGCTGTGCAGATGGAGATGGGCCTGTATCCCTTGGGAAGGTGACAGCAATGTTTGCTGTGCTCCCAGGGATGACATGATGAAAGCGGAAGCCCAGGCAACAGGCAAACCAGTGCAGCATGGTAAAAAAAAAAGGTCAGAAGCTGTTAGGGTGGCAAGTGTGGACAGAGCGCACTGATGAGCTAAGTGAGATTTTTGGGAGAGAATCAATCTCTCTCTTTGTCAGGAGGAGGTAGCTGCAGTGGAGGATCAAGGCATAGAGCCAGATACTCGTGTGCTCGGCTCGCCTTTTCAGCAGAGCTGGCACCAAGGCAAGGGTAAGACTGTGGTCCCCATTGACTTCTTTTCCCTAGAGTCTTCACCAGCAGGATGAATCAAGACTCTCTACATAGTGAAGAGCCTTAGGGAAGGGAAGAACAACTTCACAGTAGTGCTTGTGGATCAAGTCAGCTATTGCTTGTAAGACCTTAGGGCAAGAGTAAAAGTCATCTCCAAGAAATGTCCCAAAATACAACCTGGAGGCTTAAAGGTCAGCCTGCCATCACATTGGTCATTGGGAAGATCAGGGAGTGAGTTGTGTTGAAGCACATTGCTGGACACATGCAGGAAAAGATGAATGGGAACAGCCTAGATGGATTTAGCAAGAGCAAACCATGCCTGACCTACCTGATAGCCTTCTGGATCAAAGGACCACATTTGTGGCCAAGGGGAGAACAGTGAATGCCACTCACCTCCCAGGTCTCTGTGCTTAGAGAAATGGCTCAAGGATAGGAATGACCAACTGTGGGTGAGAACTGAGTCAGAGATTATGTGCAGGAATTCAGCCTTCCCAAATCAGTGGGACTAATGGGCTCTATCTGCTGGTGAGGAGAGAGTTCAGTGACATCTTTTCAAGGCCACACTGCATCATCTTTGAAAGATTTGAAGGCTCTCTAGATCTCAGAAGAGGTCCTCAGCAGATGGGAAAAGGCAACTGTTGAATCTATCCCCAAAAAAAGCCTCAAAGGAAAACTCAGGGAACTACAGACTTGCCAGCTCCAGCTCTCACTTTTGCCCCTGGGAAAATTGGGAAATGAGCCCCCTTTTTTTTGCACATGAAGAAGGAAACTGGGAAGATTCAGCATGAATTTGCCAAGGGGTCACCATGCCTGACCCCTCTGACTGCCTTCTGCAACTGAGGGACTGCATTTTTGGACAAGAAGAGAACAGCAGATAACTCCAGCAGCTATCACAGAGTGTGAGCTGGGACCTGTCCTCTTTGACACCATTATCAGTAGCCAAGAGGAGGAGGTGGATGATATTTTTTTCAGGTTTGCAGATAACACCAAACTGAAGGGACACACTTGATGTCAGGGACACCACCTGGAAGAACTTGGTCAGTTCGAAGAACAGACTGGGAAAAACCTAATGAACGTCAACATGGACAAAGGCAAATACTGCCCCAAGCCAGAAATCACTCTGTGCTTTGATCCAGGCTGGGGCTGGCCTGGGGAGCTGCTGGGAGCGGCTCTGCACCAAGGCACCTAGGGCCTTGGTGGGCACAAGCTGAGCCTGGGACAGCAGTGTGCCCCATCTGCCGAGATGGCCGACAGCATCCTGAGTTGTGCTTGCAGGGACATGGGAGACTGAGGAGTGGGATTATTCCATTCTACTCATCACTCAGTAGACCACATTTGGGACACCACGTCCTGTTTTGGGCAGCTCAATAAGTTGGTTAGACTCTAGCTAGTTCAACAGAGTGCCCCCAAGATGGCTGATGGCCAGAGCACTTGTCCTGTGAGGAAACATTAGGAACACAATTTTGGGGGTTCCTTACAGCCTGGCCCTGCTTGTAAGAGGATTATCAAGAAGACGGAACCACATCATCTTGGGAGGATGGAGCCACATCTTCTGGGAGGATGAGAGGCAGAGGCGTAAGATGAAACAAGAGATTTACCGGGTCTAGAAGAAAAACCTTTTCACTCTGAGGACCATCAAGCAGTGGAGCAGGTTGCCCAGAGAGACTGTGCAGTCTCCAGACCCAGCGGATTTAAAAATCCAACTGGTAAAGCACTGAACAATCTATATTGAGCCCATTGGAGACGCTGGAGGTGGGACCATGTGACCGCCCTCCAGCCCTTCCAACCTGAATTGTTCTGTAATTCTGCAAATATTTTAAACTACTCTAAACTTCCAGATAAATCTATTTCTGACCTATTTGTGTTCTTGAATTCTTGTGCCATAGTTAATTTCTTACAGAACTTTTAAGCTCCAATTTCATAACTGACAGCAACAACATTCATTCTCAACCTGTTTCCTTAAGCAGAATAAGCCATGCTAATTTCCTCATGTGAAATCCAGTTCCTATCCTTTTATCACGCTGACATGCCTACCAGCACTTGTCCGAATTTCAGTTCATTTGTCTGTTGTGTAGATAGTAACACTAATGTAGTAATTTAGCAAATCTAAATATAAGATTGATGATGAAATTGTGATATCCTGCACAAAGAACTCTTGCTACTGAAACCCAACCTCAGTGCAGCACAGCCACAGATTGCCTTTCTTCCACAGCTACACCCTGCCCATACTAATCCCGCCACTGATTATCATTTCCTCATGCTGCTTTCTATACACATAAATAAACGCATATTAAAAATTATTGTGCTATAGAAATAACGAATGCTAATTTTGCTATTAAAAAAGACTTCACTGGTATTTGCTCTAAACTTATCTGTACTTATCTCTTACTATTATTTTTTTCATTACTCCTTGTTGGACCAATTTTTCTTCTCTCAAAACTTTTATTAAGCATTCTGGACCCAGGTGTCTTTCCAATACAGGTGTCTTTTTACACGGTAATATTGTCCTCTCTTAAATTAGATCTATTGATCTTTTTCGATGAGTGATTTTTTACAGCACCCTAATTATCTATTAGCTATTCTGGAAGTGAATTCTCATTGTTTCTTACTGAGATTGCCAGTTGTATATTGGTAGTTTGTCAGACAGCATATAAAGTGGCTTTTATTGAGCGCTGCTCATGGCATAAATACCTTCTTTTTTTCACTGTAAGGGTTTAAAGAGCATTAGTTTGTGATTTAGTGAGTTTAAATTTGAATTTGTGAAGCTGATGCAAACTGTTATCCCCATGTGGAGCTCATTGGCTAAATGCTTAGGAATATATAAAGGACTTCATAACTCCAGTCTCACTTTCATGTGCAGTCACGGTAGTCCCTTTTGTCCGGTTTTAGAACATGAGTGTCTTAGAGAAGATAAAAACTGAACCCAGCATTACCTTTTTGATCCCTGAAAGGATATTTTCCTGGCACAGTACTTCAGTTATTGCCCAATGTACATCTACAAATATTAAATCATTAGTTACAATTTATTTTGAAAGATAAAAATGAGGAACTGTTGTAAGTTAAGGCTATTAGTGTTAGCCTTACCTTTTCATCTGGATTTCCAACAGGCTAAATTATTCATTTGGAAATCATTTCCAATTCTTTCTGATTAAACCATGTTGGAATTTCTGCCATCAGATGAAAATAGGGAAGAGTCATTCTGATACCCTGTTTTGCTACCTGGCAAAATTAAGAGTCTGAGTTCAGGCTACTTCTGTTTCAATGAGGATTCATTATCATTCCCACAGTTGCAATACACATCTCCTCTTTATTGCAAACAATATGGGTGGGTAATGCCCGGCAGTCTGGATGCCATCAGACAGTCACAGGCTGCCAATAGCAGCCCTGCCCCTTGGAAGGCCATGCTACTTCTGCAAGATATTTTTCACAGCCCATCTTCACTGGGCTGCGAAAGATATTACTGTGTGTAAGGTATTTTTCACCGCAATCTCCAGTGTCCATCTGACATCCTCCATATCCACACGGGAGAGCTGAGAGTAGGCATTTTTCCTCATGTTTGGTAGAGCACCTGTTGGACTTTTCTGCTTAGATATACGGGGCATTATATCCCTTACTTATTTTCATAAATCTGAACTGAGCTACAAACAATACCACCAACAACAGCTATAGGAAAGAAACAACATGTAACTTGGGCTAGCATTTTTTTTCTTCTTCTTGAAAGAAGATTGTTGAGTTCAATCCTTACAGCAGGTGGAAAACAACAGTAGTGGGTTAAAGTCAGAGTTTAAGAAAATACATTTAAATATATTTTTACTTAATCATTCACAGACCTAAGAGAGAAATTATAAACACCTCTGGTACAAATTGGCAAAAAGATCTAATAAACCAGACTATATAAAAAGCAAGAGTTTTTTTTCAGAAAAATGTATTTGTGTTTTAACTGATCATATAAAAAGCATTAATTTTTTAAAAAAATGTGTGTGTATATATATATATTTATATATATATATTCAAGTGTTAATGGTTTCACCATTCATTGTAACTACATTCCAACGTCCTTAAACACCAGGGCATATGATCCTTAGGTGCGTAGCTGGGCACACGCTTTACACTGAGGTTACTCTCATCACCACTTCCCCAGAGCTGTTGTCCTCTGATGCGTCTTCCTGAGGTCTCATGCGGTTGAACAGATGTAACAACACGTAGCCACACTGGAATCGTGGTGAGGTCAGCTGTGTTGGATGAACTAAACTTCTGTTTCTAAAGGCAGTCAGCGGTAACCACAGTGTCCTTCCTGCGGAGGACTCCCCTCGATTGCTCTCCTCTATGTCTGTGGCTTTGTCATAGTTTAACACATCCCAGTGTAGATTGACAGCCCTCCAGCGCTTAAACACTCGATAAACAGACGCACCTTCGTGTATTATCAGTCCTGAAATTAAGAGAAGAATTATTAGTTTGCACAGAAGGTCACTGGGTACCATTCTGACAGCACATAAATAAAGATGCAACTTCATAACGCCACATGAATTGAATAACGGCACAGCAATTGATTATTCCAATAAATTATACACATGCAATATGAACCACTATTCATATGTTTAAGATTAGGAGGAAAACCTTGCATTTAGTGTACACGTATATTTATAATAATTTTAAACTTTTCCCTCCTATACTTAATCAGAATCTAAAATTTACACAAAATGCCCCAACCTCATAATTAGCAATAAAATACCTCCAAATGTAAGCGCAATATATATGCCACAGCTGGCATTACCTGAGGGTGCCTAATTTAACAAAGTATGTGGGTTTAACTAAACCAATACAAATCAATTTTGCCAGCAGATTTGTAAACAGCCTGTTTATATGAGTGTGAACATTGTTCACGTTTAATATATTTTAATACTGTTTTGTATCTCTGTAGATTTGTGGTGGTTTAACTAGACTTCTAAGTAAGTTGAGATCTTCTATAAGGGACAGGATGGTTCTTAGATTGTTTTAAGCATGTTTTGTAGCATGTTTTGTACAAATTTTTAAAAATAAATTCTATTGTTTTCACATTTTTGTTCAGCTTGGCATCACAGAAAGTTTATGACAAAATGAAACAGCTGTAAGAAAAATGCCTTCCCTTTCTTGCTTGAGCATAACAAGAATAAAGAGATAAACTATGATATTATTAGCTCTGATCAGGATGGCAAGGATGACAGGCCTCATTCTTTCTCTTCAAACTTCAGTAGGAAAAGTTTGAGAAAATCTTTTAAAATGTCCTTCAAGTAAAATATAGATTATTTGAGTCCTGAATAGACTGATCTGCTCTCATCTAGCTAATATTAATATTCACTCAAGTGTGCAAGCAATTCCATTAACTTAAATGAAACTCATATTTTTTTATACTTATTTTCATATTTATGGGCCTATATATATAATACATACTTACGTATATAAATACGTGCATATATATGCACACTGTTCATATATTTTTCAAATACGGATTTATTGAAAAGTTACAGGAAACTTCAGCTTTTTTATAAGGTTTTTCTTCTCAAAAAGCCTGCAATTTTTATGTTTCTGAGCCATGTCACATGTTCTTTCTGACTCCCTGTTTTGGGAGGAGAGTAGCCTGCCTTGCCAAACAGATTCTAAACTACTTGTCTAGTGTGTTCCTTATCCATTTTTTTTCAAAACTCTATATTATAATATGATGTCACAGGCTACGATTCTTTATGCTAAGGGACTGTATAAAATCTCTTCCTACAGAATGAAAATTTGATCTAAAGGTTGGGGCTCTCTTAGAAGAGTTAATTGATATCAGAAATAAGGCATTTGAAGAAAGATGGCATAAGTAGAAATGTTGGTAAAAACATTTAGGTGAATAGCAAGCTTCATACTCAAATGCAGCGATTTTCAGGCAGGATTGCATACTCTAATAGACTTTTAAAGGTCATTACATTTAGAGATGGAAAAACACAAAGTGTGTTTTCAGAAGGGCACAATAGCAGGTGTTTCAACTCTGTATGTCTCTGTAAGTTGCCTGGAGTTATTGAGGCATCCAATGCACTAAAACTAAGACAATATAAACCTAATGAAATGTTAGCTACTATAAATTTGTTTTGTAGCGACATAGCATTTTAATGGAATAACTTTCTGATTGTAAGATGTCTAACTCCATCTTTTCAGTTATATATATAACCCACCCACTCTAAATATTTAGCAGCCATGTTAACACATAAACACACCATCAGACTGTCTGCATTGTCCTTGGAAGGATTCATATACAAACTAAATAAATCATGTTTTTATTACTGTGACTATGATCACTTTTTTTTTTTTTTTCCTGTTAGATTTCTCTGGAATGCTACAGGGATAAGGACATATCTGTGCATTCCTTGTTTCTGTTGCTGGATCATAGTACTGTCTGACCCCACTTCTCTCGAGACTGCAAAGCAAAACGGAGAACATGTTTTGCCCAATGTAAAGATTTCTGATACCTGCCCATTCTCCACTGCAACCTCTGCAGGCAACATATTCAAAACAGAGAAGGAACAGGTCGATAAAGGATAATTTTGGTGTGTAAAGTAATAAGTACTTTGAAATTGTCAAAAAAAAATCCTCTAAAATTATGAATGAGTGTAAAAATCATAGGGCTGTTTTTTTAAACAATTCCTCTTTTTCTTTCTTTCTTTCTTTCTTTCTTTCTTTCTTTCTTTCTTTCTTTCTTTCTTTAGCTGTCAAAATTTACTGAAATTAGACTTCCAGTCTTTTCTCAGTGATGGCAAGGAAAAGATGTTTTTCTTTAAATACTCAGAAAGCGCAAAGGATAAAGGATCAAATATTGCAAGGCTTGAAAGACAGTTGTCAGATTAAGCAATGCTTAATGAGAGAAAAGCAATTTCCCAAATCCCTCTCATAAAGTAGGTTCATTTCCCATCTGGTAAAACTACAGATTCAAAAAGATGTGTATAAAGGAAGCAAAAGAATTCCAAAAAATCTTTGAAAGCTATTTTCAAGAAGAGAAATAACACTATTTTATTCCAAATATCACGATTTCAACAGCACAGAGAACATTCCTGCACAATCCTAGGCTTGAGGAAAAAGCAAAAAGTACAGATCGGCCAACAATCTTGTTTGAATTAGATGATCCCAAGAGAAAAATGTCTGAACTTGGTTCTGTTGGCTATTCCGATCTTCTGGCCAGTTCACATGTACTAGGAACAGAGTTTGGGGTGGATGTCAGAATGCCCCAAGGCTCTGAGATGGCCTTGTCTTCAGGATTTGTTTCTAAGATGCAGGGAGCACAGGGCAATCCACAAAACTGGGTCTCAGGGTTTCAGGGAGATCGTACTATTTTTTTTAACTTTTACTTTGGGCACTGGCCAAAGGCCTTCTTATTTTGAGCCACAAGTATACTCAAAATTTTTCATATGGAATGTCTTTACATGAAGGTAACTGCTCACAGTTGAGATGTGGCATTAAACTCCACTGTTTTAGCACGTTGTTCTACCTGAGAGCCATTTTCAGGAGAAGGCATTATTAGAATTTCTTGCAGCTCTGGAATTTAGAGGAAATCTGTGGTCTTACAAACCTTTACTGGGCAATAAAAGATACTTTTCTGTAGCAATCTCTAACACTGGACATCACCTCTTAATCCTATTCTGTATCTAAGTCCATAGATATAAAAAAAAATAAGGAAATTGATAAAAGCATTGAAGTGAAACATATCCTCTCTAAAACCAGCAACTCCTTTAAAGTTATTTGGAATTAGAACACAAAAGAAGGCTTTCTGAGTGCAGAGCTGCTAAGTGCATTTCGATGGGTTAATTAAGAAATTCAGTTTATACTATTTTACAACTTGCAAAATGTTGCTAGGCATCAAATTGCCCCGAGAGCAGGGACGTGGAGGACAGGGCTTTACCTACACCCCACATGGGCTCTCGTCTCTTGCTCCCTTGCCACAGCACTGGCACCGCTCGCATTCGCAGTACATGTTCCAGCTGGTTATCAGGTGCCAGGGAAGCTGCTCAGTGGTTCCGGGGTTGCAATTGGGCTGTTACTATTTGCAAGAGAGGTTGTCCACTTTGGAACCTCGTGTGACTAAAGTTTTGATTTCTTTCCAATGCAAATATATAAAATGACTTCAGCGTTAGGAGAAATAATCATTACGCCTACAAAGCAGAATGGCAAAGATTAGTGTGTTGAACTTCAGTGCCTAAATAAAGGCTTTAGATCATTCACTCCTTTCATATTAACTCATCAATAAACTGCCTTTGGTAATCCCAACACGGATGTTCTGATCCTACCACTGCATGTAGCTCTGGACCTGTTAAAATACTCAAGATTTGCTTTTGAGAGCCTCTGTCATCAGCAATATCTGCAGAGAACGGGTTTATGCTGTTTTATACAGCTAGAGGCTTGAGGGGCTGATACTGATAAGTAAAATTGGCAATCCTGTAAAAAAGAAATTAGAATTCTGAATAAATTAAGAATATAATGAGGAAATTAATTAATACAAATATAATGGGTATGCTGGAATGGAATACTGGTGATCTCTAGCTTCTGAGATATTTCTTTTCGTAAAATGAAAAACAAGACTCGGAATTAAAGTATATGTTGCACATAATTTACTTCATAATGAAGTGGATGGTGTATTACCTATAGTATATAAGCATCTAGGACTTACGGAATAAAAATTAATCATTGGAAAATAGAAATGAATATATGCAAGTTTTTAAGGAGATCACAAAGATATGTCATGTCATTATCTGATTTTAAGAATGGCCACAACACAACACAACACAGATTTTTGTCCTTCACAAAAGGCTAAAATACTTGCACTGTTCATGCAAAGCTACAGGTGGGATAACTGAAGGCAGTTGGAATACTTGGTCATATCACCAATAACTCAAGCCCTTGCATTGAAATGTGTGCTGCTAAAGCAAATCCTTATATCTGCAAAGATTTTCACTGAAATAAACAGATTCTAGTAGTAACGTAGGTATTAACTCATGGTAAATCTCTTGTAAGACCCAGATCGTTGTTGACTTTCTATAAAAGGAGGAAATGATAGCAGAGGAAATTTGGGGTGGGAAGTGTAGTTACCTGTAAGTATTACAAGCTGTATGATAAAAGATTATATATAGTAAGCAATGACAAAATTGTATGGTAATGCCTTCAGAGAGGTACTAGTATAATGGACAGTGAGGGAGTTATTGGTATAATGGACAGTGTTGTGTTTTTTAAATCATTCCAGAATAAATGTTACCTTTCATCTAGTAGGCAACTTCATTCAAATGCTTTCTTAGTCTAAAACTGTTCTCTTTATGATGAAATTAAAACATAAAATATAATAATATATATTATATCAATAAATGTTCTCAAATGATTTTAGTGCCAAAAATATTTAAAGCCAGTTTCAGGAAAAGTGGCCAAAAATAGATTATTTATGATGTGACTGTAGAATATGCACGAGTGTAGTTAGAGACAGATCAGTTTATCTGGTGGGTGAAGGCGGTTGCCCAGGGGCAGGTGGCTCCCGCACGGTGCCAGGCGGGTGTGGAGCCCCACGGCTGCGTGAGAGCGGCCTCGGCCCTGCTGCCTGGGCAGGCAGGCCCGGGGCTGCGGAATTAACCTATTGAAACGGGGCCTTAATACAGGGCACCGCTGCAGGGGAACTGCTTCGTCCAAAATAAAGGAGCTTTTTGAAAATTGCTGTCTATGCCACACCTGAAATTCCTTGTAAGTGCAAAGTTTAATATGCCTGAAGCTCAACATTTCTGTCTACATTTTGAGTTTTCTTTTTTAAAGAAAACATCAGAAATTAATTGCTAAAAAGGAAAAACCAGTAATCAAAAATCAGTACCAGGAGTGTACCCAATGCTTTTTTTTCTTTTTTAATTTAAAATCAAAGTATTTGTCCAGAATGTTACAGATCTAGTTTCAATTCATTTTTATATTTAAGAAGATTTAGGTTTATAGAAGAAAGCCTGTGCTGTAAAATAATTCAGAATGACCTCCTTTCATAGAAATAATAACATAAATAGAATTAATGATTCAGCTGAAATATAAATAAATGCTCTGACTGTAATGGAATGCTGTCAATAAAAGATGATATGACTTTGTGGTTGGAGTAAAAGCCTGGCTATTAAGACTGTCTCTGTTTCTTTGCACCTTATTGAACAGGATTCAGAACTGCCTTTCAGAACTGACATATGTGAGACTGGGGTAACATCAACATTCATCATTCCAAAATTTCAAATCTAACATGATATGGTATTTGCTGAATTTTCTTGGAATTGCATTTCTAAGAACATGGTTTAATGCGGATTACTCCCAAGTTATTAAATCCTCTCTACAATTAATTGCAGCTATTCTAACATTCAATAAAACACAGTTTCCAATAAAAAGATTTATATTTAAATACTTCTGAATGCATATTTTCAGATAGTTCAAAAATATACAAAATAGCTTTGTAATGAATTGCATTTTTTTCTAAACCTTCAGCTAAAAGCTAAATAACTGGCGACTTCTTACATTGTCATACTTAACACTAGTGCTTCTTTATGTGTTTATGATGGACCAAGAACTCATATCAGCCTTTTTGCCTTTTTTTTTTTTTTTCTGTTACTAGCACGGTAATCCATATAATATACTTTATAGTATACTTTTCTGTATATTTTAATATTGGATTAATGGTTGGATTATGACCTCAAGGGCTTTTTCTCAAGGGCTTTTTTTGATAATGCTACAATCTAATGTAAAGCAGTATTGTGGGAAATAATTTTACTAGTTCTTTTAATAAAGTCTTTGTTACTTTGTTAGCCAGCTATACTTTCAAGCAAACTAAGCTGACTCTTTTCGCACCACTAACATTGGGGGAAGCTTTGATTAATTTGAACAAAGCCTCTTTGGTTCTTTTCTCTTTGCAGTATTTGCAACACTCTACAAAGCAGTATTTGCAAAAGGTACCAGCTGAGAATAAATCTGCAAAGAACTGGAATGACCAATTAGAAAAAATAGTCATAGTCTTAAACCACAGTCTGTGCTGTTTAACATTTTTGAGCTTACCTATGCACACTAGATCCATAAAACCATACATTCCATAGCAGATTTGAAAAAGGATGTCCTTTCTTTGCCATACTGCATAAGGGCTGAAGGCTGACCATAGAAGCCAAGTCACACTTGCTACTAAGAACAGAGATCCTAGGATTACAGCAACCATCTGCACTTTCTCAACCAGTGTTATAGTAATGCTTTGCCACTAGAAGAGAAACAAAGTTGTATAAGATCAATATGTTATTTTCTATGATTGCACATTCAACCCCACTTTTTTTTTCCTGAAATCAAAAATTATTTTAATATTTGTACATATCTTCACAGATCTTTATTAGTACTCTTGATACTGAAATTTTACAGAACTTGTTTTAACTTTCACTTTCAGTTAAAGTGAAACTAATAGTCCCCAATCCCACAAGTATCACTCCCATCTCCATCTAGCTGCGAAGTTCAAAAGAGCTATCCTTATTTCTATTTTTGCTTTCACTGCAAAGTCAAAAACATACTTAGTCTCAAAAATGGAACTCAGCTTTTCACAACTGTATGATAATGGACTGAATAAAAACCATGTGGGGAAGACATTCTTAAATAATTTTTGTGTCAGTGGGAAAAATTGGAAATGGCACTTGCTTTCCCATCTCAACCGCCCCAAATATGAAGCCACTTTTCTGTTTTCCTGTTGCTCATCGGAGAAGCTCCAGGCTACCTCCAGCCATCCCAAGAGAACTGCAGGTGTCTGCATAAATCAGCAGTCTAGACACAGACACTTGCATCTTTGTAGAGCAGAAACCTGAAAGTGCTGGAGGAGCCTTGATGATAGGAAACACACGTTGCATTTCAGTATGTCTTAATTCTGTCTGCTTCTCTAGGGAAGGCTGTTTCCTTTGTGTGTGAGTGACTCAGATTTATGATGTGACAAGATGTAATTTTAAAAGAATACACTTACTGAATTCTATCAAGACAAGGATAGAAATAAAATTTCATTATAGCAGAGAGTCACAAAAGCAAATGAAAGAGGCACAGCATAAGGAAAAAAGCGTTTTGGATTACACCTATCATGTATACTCTTTTCTGGCTAATTCACTCCCTGAATTGGCTTGGCTGACACTCCATTCTAATTCCATAACCTACTCCAACACCAGTAGGGTGTATAATTTCTAGACTGACATCTTTCTTGTTCCTGATTTTGAAAGGCTCCCCTCTTTCACGATTGCTACAAGGAAGAGGAGAAAAAGGAACTTAGAACTCTATTACCACTTTCTCATCTGGAATTTTTTTTTCTTTGTTACTATTCCTTTAAAAAAGCTTTATCTTTTTTTGTTGTTCCTAGTGGTTGAGTATGCAGTACTGTGTGATCATACATGACACATATGTGACAGAGTAATTCCCATGGCAAGGGTCTGCGGGAGGTCTCTAGCCAACTTCCTGCACAAAGCAGGGTTAGCCACGATGTCAGACTGGGCTCTCCAGGTCTTTATTCAGTGAGGTCTTGAAAACCTCTAAGGGTGGAGACTGCTCAGCCTCTCTGGAAACCTCCTTCCAACTCTCTCTACTTTCTATAGGGATAATATGTTCAAGAGCAAAATTATTTCTCAGCAGAAACCACATAGTGTTGGCAGAAAACTGTCAAAAATGCTCTTGGTTATGTGCCTTTTCCTGTCTTCCTTCATTATCAATAGGCAATTATTAATTATTAATTCCTTATTAATTCCTATTAATTCCTGGCAATTATTAATTCTTTCATTATCATTATCAAGAGGCAGACCCTTAATAAATTTGTTCAAAATGCCTGAAGTCAAAGCACATTTGCATGAAGTGTAATTTAGTTTTATGCATTAACTGTCACAAAATATTAAACTGTCAAATTCATGGAGAGGCTGGCAATAAACCTAAAATGCTATTATACGGCTAAAACAAACAGCCAGTCTTTCACAGTGACTTTCAGCAACATAGAATCATAGAATCATAGAATCATAGAATGCCGAAGGTTGGAAGGGACCTCAGAGGTCATCGAGTCCAACCCCCCTGCTCACGCAGGGTCACCTAGAGCACGTGGCACAGGGCTGCATCCAAGCGGGTTTTAAAGATCTCCAAAGAAGGAGACTCCACAACCTCTCTGGGCAGCCTGTTCCAGTGCTTTGTCACCCTCACAGTGAAGAAATGCTTCCTTAAGTTCCTGTGGAACTTCCGATGCTTCAGTTTGAAGCCATTTCCTCTAGTCCTATCCCTGCCCACCACTGAAAAGAGGCCGCCCCCCTCCTCCTCACTGCCTCCCTTGAGGTATTTATACACGCTGATCAGGTCCCCCCTCAGCCTCCTCTTCTCCAGGCTGAACAGACCCAGCTCTCTCAGCCTTTGTTCATAGGGCAGATGTTCCAGGCCCCTGATCATCCTGGTAGCCCTGCGCTGGACTCTCTCCAGCAGCTCCACATCCCTCTTGTACTGGGGAGCCCAGAACTGGACGCAGTACTCCAGATGTGGCCTCACCAGGGCTGAGTAGAGGGGGATGATCACTTCCCTCGACCTGCTGGAGACGCTTTTCTTAATGCACCCCAGGATCCCGTTGGCCTTCTTGGCCACCAGGGCACACTGCTGCCTCATGGTCAACTTGTCGTCCACCATGACACCCAGGTCCCTCTCTGCGGGGCTGCTCTCCAGCAGGTCCACCCCTAATCTGTACTGGTGTCCAGGGTTATTCCTCCCCAAGTGCAGGACCTTGCACTTGCCCTTGTTGAACCTCATGAGGTTTCTGGCCGCCCAGTCCTCCAGTCTGTCCAGGTCCCTCTGGATGGCAGCACAGCCCTCAGGGCTATCAGCTACTCCACCCAGTTTGGTATCGTCGGCAAACTTGCTGAGGGAGCACTCCAGCCCTTCATCCAGGTCGTTAATGAATAAGTTGAACAGGACCGGACCGAGAACTGACCCCTGGGGGACACCACTAAGTACAGGCCTCCAGCTGGACTCCGCACCATTGACAACCACTCTCTGCACCCTGCCATCGAGCCAATTCCTAATCCACCTCCCCGTCCACTCATCTATCCCACACCTTCGGAGCTTGCCCAGGAGGATGCTGTGAGGGACAGTGTCAAAAGCCTTGCTCAAATCCAGATAGATGACATCCACCGCTTTGCCCTCATCTATCCAGCTAGATATTCCTTCGTAGAAGGTGATCAGGTTAGTCAAGCAGGATTTCCCCTTGGTGAATCCATGCTGGCTACTCCTGAGCACCTTCTTCTCCTCCATGTGTCTGGAGAGAGCAGCCAGGATGAGCTGCTCCATCACTTTCCCGGGGATGGAGGTGAGGCTCACCGGCCTGTAGTTACTTGGGTCCTCCTTCTTGCCTTTTTTGAAGACTGGAGTGATGTTGGCTTTCTTCCAGTCTTCCGGCACCTCCCCCGTTCTCCAGGACCTTTGAAAGATGATGGCGAGCGGCTCGGCTAGGACATCTGCCAGTTCCCGCAGCACTCTGGGGTGCATCTCATCAGGGCCCATGGATTTGTGGGTGTCGAGGCTCCCTAGATGCTCTCTGACCCACTCTTCCTCTACCCAGGGCAAGCCTTCCTCTCTCTCGCTCTCTTCGTGTGTCCCTAGGGCCTGGGATTCCAGAGGGCTGCCCCTGACAAACACAGAAGCAAAGGCGGCATTCAGCAGCTCTGCTTTGTCCGTGTTTTCCGTAACCAGGGTACCCACCCCATTCACTAGTGGACCCACGTAGAAGTTAGAACATAGAAGTTCCTATTTGATACTATCAAATTATTTGGAATTTTTTTTTTAATTTAGATGTTTTTATAGCTATTCTTCAAAGATATCACTGAAAACAGAAGGAAAAGTAGCCCAAACATCTGGGATAAGACATGTAGCATTGCTGAATAATGAATGCACATGCAGTCCAAAAACAAGGACCACCCTTTATTTTGGAACTGCCTGACATTCTAACTTCTATTCCTATCTCCCCCTTCCAAGCAGAATCAGCCACTCCCAGGATCTTTCTCTGTGAAAGGCTTCAGTTCTGCCTCGTGACATATCTCATGTTGGCTTTCCTCAAATTTTTTCTTCCTAGAAGAAGCTTGACCATGAAAAGTCTGAAGAAATATAGATAAGATCCTCACCTTTTCACAGCATCTTCTTGAGAGTGTGTTCTAGTTGCTTCACTATTCTCATGATCAGATGAATTAAGTACCCATACGGAATGAGTCCCTCAAACTCAACAAGCTCACGTAGCCCAGTCAAAATCCAAACTTTTCTACAGGGAGTGGTTCCCATCTCCTTTGATTTTAAAAGCCTTAGGACAGCTAAAAGAGTGCAAAAATCCCCAAAGAGGCAGCAAGGGGATGCAGGGGGGTCACTAGGCAATGTGAGGAACTCTTTGGGGTTGTGTTCTCTGGTGACATTCCATTTCACGACAAGACTTGTGAAGAGGAATCAGACATGTGGTCCCATCACCTTTTTTTATCCAAACTTATGCAAAGTGCAGATAATATGTGTGGGCATACATAGAGAAAAATATTTAGGAACAAAAGACATTTTTAAAGAGCAAATTCTATTTATAGTATGCAAATCTATTTAAGCCTTATTTGATTTGTTCTGACCATTTTCCTCATTCCTTATCCCATTATATATTATTACAATCACTTCATCTTTTAATGCCAAATTAAATGCTTACCATAATGAAGTCACAACAATATTGTCAAAAACAGTATTATTATAGTTAATGTTGAGTAATTACATTAATTATTTTACAGACTGAATTATTTAGCATTCTGAACTGAATGGTCTCATTATTAGTATGTCATATTCATTTAAATCTCATTTTTTCATAAATACATTTCTCATTTTCAAAATGGCACAAATCTCTTAACTTGCTCATGATTTGAGACTATAACTTCCTAATTGATGTTGTCATCATACGTCTGTTTTGCTAGATATACATTCTTTAATCAGTAGCAGTTCTCAGAGCTTGCCAGTTTAGAAAATGTCTATATAGCCCTTGCCTAGTTCCTACATTTCCCTTTTACTGTCAGTCCATTGTTGGTTCTTTTTCTCTCTTATTTACCATTGGTCTGCCTCCCATGAATCAGGTGGAAATCTGGTACATTAATGGCAAGCTGTAGTTCTGTGGATATCTCCAGAACCATCACTCCTCTTTTGTTCTAAGTACCCCGTCAGAGGAAGTTTAAATTTTTATAAAGTTGACACTTCCAGAAA